TTTTTTCAGGAAAACGTGAAATTACTCGAGGTGAAAATTCTACAGCAAATTGTTCAAACTTGATAGGAGCTTCAGCCATTAACAATACCGTTGGATACGATACTGCACCTGGGGGTGCCAATATGATCCCCGATGATACTGCACCCGATGAAGATTTCGCTGTAGCTATTACTCAAAAAACCCAGGTGAGACAAATTTTAGCCTAACCTATGTAAATAACAAATACTAGGCTGTCATTTAATAGGAAATGATTCGAGATGATCAGCTCTACTTAAAATGGCTTGTCCCATGTACGCATACGATAAATTATATTATACTATACCCATGTTATAATGCACGCAATTAACGAGCATGTTAAGCATTAATAGGCTTAATACAACAACTTTCCTGCAGTTGCAAAACTGTCGGGAAACAATATAATATAATACAAACTGTTTATCGTAAGCACTTGATCATAAACGATTTTTCAGTCACTTAACGCGACTAGAAAATCACAAAAGTCACATTATATAGTGTGACGAACAATCGACGCGTGAAAGTTTGCCAGTATTGTGCGATGATGAAGTTATCACGATATAAAATCACAATATTGCCGTGATTGTACCGTGTTATAAATTATGCATGTCTATGATCCTACATAAATAACTAACGCAAGCTTCTTTTTCATTTCATGTGAAATGCATCGCACGCAAATGCATTGTACAGGTACATCATTCCAGTGGTTGTTCGTGTCCTTGTAAAAAAACGGTAGGAACTTTTTCGACGAAATTCACGTGATTCGAATTGGTCAATCTCGTCAAAGAGACAGGCGTACCCTTGAATAGATTGTACCCCCAGGTACAATATTCCCCATAAATAAATATTCCTCCGAGGTTCTCGGATAACGACGTGAAACGATTCAACATTCAACGTCACGTCGCGTGTCGGTTCGCATCGTAATTTGAAAATACAAATACAGCGCCTACCGATGATGATTTCTCAGTTTTCTTACTTTTACCTATCAAATGAAATTTGATCACAAGACAGTTGAGAGAAATTTTAATCCCATTTCAATAAAAGCGAAATAAATTATCGTCATCGATAGAGAAATCGATAATCGACGAAGCGCTAATCTTCTGCTAATATTCTGCAATCTAACAAAATATATAATCCAATAAAGTTTTCATTTTTATCGTTTTTATCAGAGTCCGAAGAGTTGCGTTTATAACTATTTCGCCAGACGATAAACACGAAGAATTACACAATATCGAGTACATCCAATTAACGAGATTCGTTCGTAGTAGCCGAGATGCTTATTTCACTCTTAAATACGTATATACTGTATACAGGTGCAGAAGAAAAATTATCGTACAGGTACGTGGGAAATACTCCAAGTAACGCTTTCCGGAGCGGAACTCGTGAGAGCCGTCGAGTGATTTTTATCGCAGCCCTTTTACCTTACCTTACCTTACCTTACCTTACCTTGCCTTGCCTTGTCGACGTTGAACAGAAAAAAAGAAAGGCCTTACTCATAAGTTGTAAATTTCTCAAACCAAAGCTACATTACTTTTATCGGGGAAAGTGTGCTATTTCTAAAAATAAATTGACTGGCAACTGCGACGAAAGAAGCAAGATTTGTAGCTAACGTTAAAATTTATTGTTGAAACTTGAACGAAAAAATGTCCAACTCCTCTCGCACCTGGCTTTCATTCATTTATTTATTTTTTGTTTTACACCGTTAATACCAATACAGTTTGACGCAATAACGAACGTTTGTCACATCGATATTCATAAGTAAAACGTAACGTTTGTCACACTCTATCGTTTGCACAAAGGAGAATTATCTGCAGAATTGTTATCCGCAATTTACATTCCACACAGTGGCATATATATGTGGGCATCAACAGGCTCTTCTTCACTTGCAAATGATATCGATGCGACACGACGATGTCTAACGTTTGTCAAATGGGATCGAAGAATTATGTGCAAAGAACACGAATATACACATAACTGTGTCATTTCATAACTGGCAAATTTCATTCATACTTTCAAATCTTCATTGATTCATTCAAACGTTGCATTTCTTGATTTCGCTTAGTAGTACTTTTTCGCTTTTTTTCATTACGTAAATACATTCGCACGTTTCCCCGGTGCAAAAAATATCACTAACTTAATTCGTTAATTGATTAAAGGTAACGTTGGGTAATCAAACTTTAAATGTTAATACTTTGACACCTGGTTATCTGCGCAAGATGAAACGTGAAACTATTGTGCAACATTTCTATTCGAACTCATTCGAGTTTTATTCATTATGCATATCTTAACTTGATTATCGTTGATGTTTTCTACTAATTTTTCCAAAGAAATTTCTTAAATATACCCATCTAAATGCAAACGCCAGAAATGTAATATTACATACATACACGCGACGTTGCGTGAGTTACCTGCTTACAGGTATATTCGGTATATGTACATAAATATCTATATGTACATTGTACGCTATTCACTACATCTGCTATAACTACTCTTTATATACAAATATATACACACACACACATACACACTGCGGATCCTATATTCTAACCAAATGAAGAAAGAAATAATGATGTTTGTTTTGCATGACTTTCGCCGTATTTCAATCTTCAAACAATCATTAAAATCATGACTTTTTTAATATTTTCTTACGAACACGTTTGATGAAATTAAACATATACATGCATATACATATGTACATATGTATATTCATTTTGCAGCATTTATAAAAAGCTAATAATAAAGCAAATTTTGTAATTTACGCTTTTAATATTTGATAATAATAACTACTCAAAACAGATCCTCCACTTTTTATACCATGTACATATACTACTCGTTTATAATGACACTCTCTTCACTTTTATCCATGTGTCGTACACACGATGGTGGAAGTAGGTATAACAAAGAAAGGTTTACAAGCAGCAGTCTGCCTTTCAAGAATTAAGATTCGCTGTATCCTTTCGTGAAATGTTTATGAAATATAATTTTGCTTCTACCGACGTGACATTTTCAATTCGAATTGAAAATTCGATTCGCTTGTTGCAGAGAGATGCAGAAGCCATTCGAAGTGCTTTATATCTTGGTTTTGCTCTTACGATCGCGTGGATAATAGGCGCAGCAGGTTTATCACTGGCGTGGTTAGTCCTTGTGTTGGCATTAACAGCGACAATATTTAAAACAAGGATATCCCGTCTTCTTGACTCGACCGTTCATCGTGAATTGGCCAGACTACGGCGAAAAAGAGCTTTGTACAAAGATGAAACCGCTGAATGGCTAAGTTTACTTCTGAATAAATGGTAATTACGCACTTTTATAAATGTACATGTAGGTGTATACGCATATGTATGTGTACGTACATATGTACATGTTGCTTCGTGCGAAGAGAGTCGAAATCGTTCCGCGTGTAAAAATATTTACAAAGTTGTTAATAATGACAGGCAAATCATCAATTTGACTTGAACGTCAGGCAAGAGCAAAAATATTAATTCTTTTTACCTGCATCTACCTAACTAACAATATTTTTCGTTCCTTTTCGTTCAATTAATTTAACAAAATGCAATCCAATTGATGTTCGATCATACACGTATACATATACGTATGCCTTGTGTATAATTTTGTTTATAAATGAAAATTATTCGGAACGTATTCGGAACCGTATAGGCGAATGAACGTACGAACGTTCCACTACCAATAGTATGTGGGTATTTGTAATTACTCCACATTCCTCCAGTGCAGTGTATAACCGTTGCCTTTCACGTTTCACTGTTACTTTACTGCATCGACTTACCAGTTATAGCTACTTATATGTATGTAAATACCGTTGCTGCTAATGTCTACCTGATGACAAAACTATAGGTTTCGAATCGCCACTTCTATTATATAACTTCTCTAATATCTATATTTATATAACTTCTCTAATATTTATACGTTCAATTCGGTTTTCTCAAATCTCACACGCATCTCTTATCCGCTAAAAATTGTGAAAATGTAAGAAATCTCTCAATACATGGCATATGCTGAAGTTGAACGACGCGGCGTGCCACGCCGTTTTAATAAAATTAACAAGTTGTAATATTCTGCAAAATAAAGCTAAAGTAAGTTACTGTAATAATCACCAAAATGTACTGGTTTCAATTTTATAAAAATTAATTTTTAATTATGTATCTGCATACCTGTAACTTGATACTTCGTTTATGTAATGTAGGTGGAGATTTAGCGCTGCCAGTATATTTTCTTTAGCAAAAGAAAGACTAGAACCTCTTTTAAACGAAGCAAAGCCAGGAATACTTGGTAAGTTTTGGCAATAACTATGATTGGCTAGTAAAATATTCAAGATTGTTACGCTATTTAAAATTCTTGCAACACAGAGCTCTTTACAATGTAAAATGATCAGTCAAAAAGTGAAGTTTATCGTAAACAACCGTATAACTATATAACATAATGCGTATTTAATATTTATTTCAATTTATTGCAAACTTGTATCCAATTTTGAAATTCAGAATCATCCGTTTCTGAGGCATTGAATTTCCTTCTTGAATCTAAAAGTAATTCACATTTTTCTTACATCTTTCTTCTTATGTCTTTAAAATTCTCTTTGTTTGTTGCAAATATTTATCGAAAAATATTTATTGCAAAAACGTGAAGTCGAAATGATTAATCGTTACATATATCGTTTCAAATTCCAATATTTATGAATTTATAATTTTATATTGAATAAATAATTTTAATGGAGATTAATTTCTTAGGACCGCTGGAATTAAGAGAGCTGACACTTGGCGAACAAACTCCTTGTGTCACACGCGTAAGAACGATAGATTATGCGAATGACGATGACGTCGATGGTCAAACTAGGCAGACGAAATTGTCGATCGAGGCTGACCTACGCCTCGATTGTGAACAATTCCGTATGCTCATTACAACAAGATTATTTGGCAAAGGGTTAGTATATACATATGTAAGTACCTATAGATACAGTATATACTTTATAAAAAAAAAAAAGTGAAAAACCTATCGATTGGTAATATCTGATTGAAAAGATCTGTAATATTAATATCCTACGAGTTAAATGAATAAAAATTCATTTTAATTATTACAATATTGTAATATCTATTCATCGCGGTAACCGATTCATTGACATTGATTTATTCATTACCTTTCAAAAAATTTCATTTGAAATTCAAGGGTTGGCATGGACGTTGATCTGGCCGTGGAGAAACTGTCTCTTTCTGGTACCATACTTGTTAGCCTGACCCTTAATTCCATGGCACCGTTTCCTCACGCAACCTCTTTAAGCGTGAGTTTCTTGGAGAAACCGGATGTTTGGTTCAGCGTGAAAATCTTGCGAGCAGTACAAATGATGGAAATGCCTTTAATTAAAACCTGGATTCACGCGGTGGTCACAGACGCTTTGGCTAGCTGGATCGTCGATCCTGGCCACTTTGAGATGAATCTAAGAGCACAAGAACGACCCGTGCCCAAATTCGATTCATTAACTAATTCCATACCGCAAGCAGTGCTTACTATCGTTTTATCTCAAAATGGATATTCAGGTACTACGAATTATCAATCTAGAAACATGCAGAAATCTATACAATCTACATATACGTGTACATATGTCGATAAATATTATAAACGTTCAAAAGAAAAAGAAAAAGTGATTGAAAAGACATTCGGATCTTGCTGTAAAAATAATAAATAGTACAAGCTTGAAATGAATAATTCGGATGAAGCTTCACTTAAAAAATGTGAATTCTATACACAACAATCATCAAACTGAGAAATACTCAATGTATTATGTATACAAAAAAAGTCTACAACTTTTTTAATACACATGCATACACATTAAAGCTAAATATAACAGCAAAAATGAAATGCTATTTCCTAAAAAGTATAAAACTATTGGTGCGTCTTTTTATTTATAGCCTTCACCGCGGATGAAGTGAGATGGCTGGTGGTGACATTGGGAGATCAAAGACGGATCACAACTCCTCTGAATCCCACGTGGAACGAGGATATATCTTTCTTAGTAGGAGTCTTGGATAACGAGAAAGTCTCTATCAAGTTGAAAGCAAAACGACTTGTCAGCACCATCACGTTGGCTCAGTTCGAACTTGCGCTCGGGATGTATCATTGGGATAGCTCGCAAGTGTAAGTTAACAGACAGTTTACATACATACGTATGCGTATTTTACAATTACATCAACTTCAAAAGCTACAGAAAAAGGAAAAATATCAATTAAAGAATGCACATTTATATACACAATTTTAACATTTCCATCAAAAAGAATCGAAACCGTATTACAACAAAAGAAACCGTCCCGGAATACTGCCAACATTCCAAACATCAACGCTCGATTAGAGTACACCGCACTACCGAAATTGGATCCAGACTTACCACGACCAGAATTAACGGAAGATAATTCACATTTATCGGGTAACTCTAAAATTTTTTATATTTTTACATCTTTACATCTTAATCAATGATGATCAAAATCATTGCGCATCATCGAATGACGTAATTATCTTGGTCGGTGCTATCCCACTTGATATCTTCAGTGTTGCAAAAGTATACCAATAGTGAAGTGCGAAAATTGAATTCGTCGAATTCGTAGCTTTCAAGCTCGATTTTTTTTTTCTTTTTTTTAATATGCATATACACGTACAGGTACACCTGCAAATGCACGTATGTACATATAGATGTACACATACATATACACTGTTGTGCGCGGCGCACAACCATTACTATTCACTTTTGTCAGTTGTGCAGCAATGATATGATATATGATATATGATATGATATGATACTCTGCAAAATCGTTGAATAATAATGATAAATACATACGTGTACATACTCGTATTTGATAAATTTCACATGACTCGCTACGATTTATTCAATACAAAATTGTTTTCAGGAGTGCTCGTCGTTTATATTCATTCGGCAGAGAATCTAAATAGCGACACTTCCCAATGCAATCCTTATTGTACATTATTTAACAATCGTAAAAAGGTACGCTTTCACTTATATATGTATTTATCCTCTAATATAGATTTTTTTAATCTGTCGATTTCCTACTTTACCTAGTTGAATACCCTTTATTTAACATTCAGGTGAAAACGACGCATTACATTCGAAGCACTACGTCGCCCTGCTGGGAATCAAGAGCACAATTTCTTGTTCAGGATTATACTCAAGTGTCTTTAAGTTTTGTTGTATACTCTTGGAATATATCCAAATCGATTGACAGTGATATGCTTGGGCTCGCTATATTATCTTTATCTCAAGTAAGATGGCATAATTATGAATATCTTAATTAGAAAATCAACAATGAAAAGCAATCAATATTTTCTTTTTTATCACGTCGCTAATTACAGTTTTTTGATATCTGTAATTAGTTACATTACACAAATAATTAGCAATAATAATTTTGTTCAGGAAAGTACATGGATAGTTAGAAAAAGATTGATTCTTAGTGGGTCGAACGTTACGTCAACAATGACCGTTTCCGTACTATTCCATCCTGTTAAAAGCGTGCAGCAAGTAGTCACCAGTCGAAGGAGCAGTTTGATCTTTCCAATATCAGACGATGAACCGAAATCTAAAAGAAACAGCTTACCGTGGATGCAACAAGCAGTTAGTACAATCAATACACAAACACAACAACCGCGTATCCACAATACCGGCGTAAACGTTATTCTATTTCTCCTAACGTATTACGTATTTCTTCAGAAACTATTACTAACTCACAAGGATATAGATCCCGCTTCATCAGACGTATCCAGTCTACTTTCCACTGGAAGTGGATTAATGGAAGTAACATTGGTACGCGCGAAAGATCTTGTTGCAAAAGATCTGAATGGTTTCAGCGATCCTTTTTGCGAATTGAAACTAAATAATGAAACAAAGTACAAGAGCAGCATAAAAAAGAAAACACTGAATCCTTGCTGGGATGAAAGTTCCATCATGGGTTTGCCCCGAATTGGCGAAACTTTGGATGTCGTAAGATTTCTATCTATGCTTATGTATATTATATATTTTGTATATATATATATATATATATATATATATATATATATATAACGAGAGTATATGTACTATACTCATATATTGTACATATATACAAAAATAGCAGCTACAACAACAATAAATGCAACACTTTTTTATCATTTCTTTACATAGGTATTATGGGATCATGATACTTTTGGTATGAAGGATTATCTTGGAAAAGTATCATTGACTCTCGACGACATTAGAAAATTATCAAATAGCGATCAGCAGTCACATTGGTTCACGTTGAGAGGAACTAAAACCGGATCTGTAGAGTTGAAAATTAAGGTTTTATCCGAAGAGTGCGAGGTACATAAAATTTTTATTGCAACAGTTAACGTTGTTAAAAATATTTCAAGTTAACATTTGAAACTATTTACTCTATTTCATATTTTTTCATGACAGACTCAAAGCACTTATGCAGCTAGCAATATCAGCGAAAGTTCAACCCAGTTAAATATTGAAAGTTCTGAAACAGTGTCAAACATTATAAGAAGACCTTCAATGGAAAAATCAAAAATGAGATTACACTTGGACGTTGTACCACCGCCGCCACCTCCTCGTACAGTTACTTTGTTAAAACCAATTATTTCTAGTCAAGCTGGTAAATTATTTTCCAACAATCTGATATAACAAAAATCACATAAATGTTTTTCCTACATCTTTGATGTTTCAATTAGACAAAGCTAGTATCGCAAGCAAAGATTCAAACGAAATGAATGGAACCGAAAATTCCTGGATACCTAAAGTTATCACAGAAACCATTACAGATGTAGTGGACGAAACTGATACATCAAAGTTAAGAGAACGGCCATCTTCTCACAACAGTTTAACTCCAAGTCCAGAACAAAATTTCGGCAAAAAATTACCACAGTATAACAGCTTTCGCGTTATGAAACAAAAGGTGATCCATTATTAGATCCATTCTTGAACAATACATTGATTTAACGATAATTTAAAACATTACTACGTATAACGTGACAACGTAATGTACATAGTAACGAGAATGAAGAATATGCAATAAATAGTAATAAGATTGAAGATTATTTAAATTATTATTTGCTTATTATTTAGTTAGCAATTAATTTATTATTAATTATTATAAATAATTTTAGATGAAAAGAGGATTGAAACTTCGTAGATTTCGTTCAGAAGTAAATATAGAGGACAAAAATGAATCAAAGGGCATAACATTAAGCTTGGAACCTAGAGGTGGAGGAGAAGCCGATGCTACAGAACTTTTACAAGGATCTGGTTTAGCCCATGCAGTATCACAGCCCGATATGCTTAGCAGAATAAGACAACCTAGTCCCCACTTAAGATTAAGACCGAATGGTTTGTACATTACATAATTAACATAGTTGCATAGTAAATGTATATAGAAAAATACAATCGTGTTCTTGCTTTCAAACATCTGACAAAATTACATATCGTAAACTACATATGATGACTTTCTCAACTTTTTTTTTTATATTATCTTTATACTTTATTTATTGAAACAGAATTGAAGATTGTCAATGGCACTAAAGAAAAATACTCGGGCATAGAAGGAAAAGTTTTACAAGCTCAAGGTCTTCACGTTGCGCATATCGCTCAGCTATATTGTCGAATTAAGCTTCAAATGTAAGTATGTAAATGTATATAGAAAATACAAACATTTATTTGAGAATAATATAAAAATTCTCCTTACGTATATATTTATTAGATGTACCAGTCCTGATAAAATTACGTCTTCGGCAAATGGTGGTAAAACATTAGCAAAATCTCGACTTTTACCTGCAATGCCTAATCCACAATTCAGTATAGATTTTCACATAGAAGGTGACAATGTTCCTAGACAATCTTTATTAATATTCGAAATCAGAAGTGCTAGCAAAGAATTATTAGCTAGCCGGCGCATCACTCTTCATGAATTATTGGGTGAGTATAATTTACTTTGTATCGTAATTTAACACAAAAACAAGTTTAAAACTCAACATTCAAATGCTTTACGAAGCTAAAGAAAAGTAATATAAGGCAAAAGTAATCTGAAATTCGAATGCCTTACTACGAAACTAAAGAGAAGTAGTAACATAAGGCGAAAGTGATTTAAAATCCATAAATTCCTTTCATAATCATGATGTCATAACACGTATATGTATACAACTGGATATGTAAATTTTGTATTACATTCAGGCGTTTCCGCGGCAACTGATGAGATTCATACATGGTTAGCATTAAACAATGGAGCATCATTGGAAGTACAAATTGTTCATGGAAGAGAATCGAAAAGTAAATCTACAAAGAAACTCTTTCGATCCTGGTCAGTACATCGAATAGGAAAAATATAAGCTTTAATCAGTCTTATATATATTTGTAAAAATTACAATTTTTAAATTTCTCCTGAGAAATAGTAAACATATTTACCAATTGATTTTACATTTTACATATTTTATTACATGTACAGATATACATAAATAAACTTGTTAATCTTAAAATAAGAATCACGATATTTGTATTTTGTATCATAAAATGTATATAAGATACTTCACCTTTCATTATAAATCGATTTATTAAAAAAAAAAAAAAAAAAGACGAATCTATAAAGATGAATAACGATAGCTTTTTTTTGGTGTTTATATCAGATTAATATTTCTTAAGTGAACTCTCTACAAATTATGCATTTGTTATCAACGTCCAATACAAATATACTTATACTTTGAATTATAACAAACAATTATATTTACAAAAGCGTTATACAAATATTGTTCATTTAGATGTAATATTGTTCATTTCTGACTTGTCTTGACGATTTACACAACGATATACACAAGCAAAGCTGAAAAGAAATCTCCTGAAAAGAATGTAGAATATTTCTAATAGATTCAGTGCAATGAGAAAGATAAGTTTGATTAAAAATATCACATGTACAAATAATACCGTACAGCATCGAATGACAATGAACAAAAAACAGAAATGTTTATCTAGCTCCTATGCCATCCAGCTTGGACTTGTTTTTATCTCTGCATTGAATATGTACACTTAAATGAACATTTACACTCGAGTGATTTACACTACCATTACTATAATCAGCTGACACTGTAATTATTCTGAATAATTATTTTGACTATCTGTCATATTATAGAAAATAAATACAGATTAGTTTTAAATCTATGTATCATTAGCCTTGTATTTTATAACATACGAAATTTTTCAAGAAAGTAATTTTTATTTTCAATTTTCTTATTAAATATGTTATATAAATAAATATATTGTAGTACTGAATATTATACACAAATATCGTTTTAACAAAAGTATACTCAACAATGATAGAATATAAAGAATCTGGTATAATAATATATTACATCCAGACATTAAGAACATATTGTTTTAAAATATTAATTAAATTGAATATATATATGATGAAAAATATTAGTAATACTGAGATAAAATACATCAGATACAATAATAATTATTCATAATATAGTATATATTTTTATGATATATGTACGTTAATCACATATAATTAATTTTATATTATATAAAATATTAGTATAATTAATATAAATATTTAAGGCACTATATAAAATATAACGTAAAAAAAAGATATACACACATTTATGTATATGAATGTATATATCTTCAAATACTTAAATTTTGAAAAATGCATACCTGCAGCATTATTATTATTATTTTTTTTTTATTTCAATCAAGAAGCAATATCACACACATTTTGTACATTATCTTAACTTGCTTAACTTACTTGTATATTTTTGAAAATCTTAATATTGCAGCCAAATCCAAATCTGCCATTAACTTACTTGCCACTGAAATAAAAAATAAAGAATGATTACTTTACAGTGTACCATGTAACTAATACTAAATAATTTTCATAAGTAATTTACTTCAATCTGATCAAATAAATGTTGCAAAATTATCAAATATATTAACTACCGGTATTTTATTTTTAAATATAATGTTGTTTTCAAAAATTAATCGTCTTACCCTCAAATTACTTTGCACATTCCTATTCCCAACTTCTTCTTGACGTTTTTCACGTAACTGATCTAATCTTTCTTGCCTTTTAACAGCCTCAATATTTTTAATACCTCGACTCTGTTGTTCAGCAATTCTTCTTTCTGCAGCTTCCATCTGTTTTCTTCTTTTCATTTCCTAAAAATAAATATTTATCATTTTTTTGCAATATTTATTAGAAGTAATCTTTAAAAATATCTTTAAAAAATCAACATTATTCGTGGATTCCTTCAATACCAATTATTATTGATCACTTTTACTGCAACTAAAATTAATCCTTACAATAATTCTAAAATGTATGAAATTAAAAAATTATACATATTTTGTATGTATATGCAGATAATATAATATACATATTGTACGTATACTTCATTATCCTGAAATATTACAGTATGAACAAGGACATAATACTTTTTAATATGATGAAAATTCATTAAACATTGTCTTTTAATAATGCAAGTGTATACCAAATGTATACAAACGTATAATGTTGTACAAAATTAAAAATATTAATGTGTAACAAATAAGGACATTTAAAAAGAAAAATACTAAAATACAAATTAGATTGAAACTGATTAAAACTGATAAAAATTGGTTAAATTATATCTTAATGTGTAATGATACGTTAATATATTAACTTCAGAACACAATAAATGAAAAATTTATACAAAACGACTGCCATTCATATTTGGACACTTAAATATTCAAATATTAAATATCGAAACTGTTGCAATATTGTAAAAACAAATGATACAATAATAAACTTCAGCTCATTTTAAAGCTTGAATTCTCCATCATTCATTTTACTCTACAAAGATCTTTTCACATCACATAGGGGATGAGTAAGTGAATATATTTTTTTTCTCGAAAATGCCATAAATTCTCATAATATAAAAACATTGAAAAATTTTGTTCGTGACTAACTCTAAAATGGATTTATAGATTGATCGTGCTGTACAATTTTTTTTTCATCAATTTATTGAATTTTGAATTAGGTAAAAACCAATATAACATTGAATCGTAATGTTACGATATCCGTTATTTAAGTCTAACATTCATTCTAATATTAATGAAATATTAATAGGAATCATACGTACATACGTATATTATCATTGAATAACCTTAAAATTTCATATCTTACCAAATCTGGTGTTAAATCTTCACACGAAGATGATCCTTTACAACAAGATAGAAAAAGATTTCCCATAGTAACTACAATTAATTTTTGCTACAGTTAAGAAATTGAATTACTCCTGTTACAATTTTTACACTATTCCCAGTAAACATAATACGAGTGACAAATATTGTCACCTAGTGTCATTGACTACTACTCGATGTTAGTATTCTCGATCAATAAATTTGTCGTACAATTGTCGTTAAATTTTATTGTAAACATTTTCACATTGTGTAAGAATATTACATCAAATAAGCTTAAATTTTATATAAAATTTTATACAACGAAAGAAATTTTAATATTAAAAATTATATATATGTATATATAGCATATAATATCTCTTTAATAGACAGGAAAACAAACCGACAGACAGACGAATGTCTTACTTTCCATCATATGTACAACACAAATATTATTGTTATTAAAATTTTGACCATAAATATGAGATGTTGTACTACAAACAATACAAAACAATATCAAAATACTGTAATCATAAATAACAGATATAGTTGTGTTTCTAATTGTATAATCAATTACCTTTTATAGAAATAATAATAAGTATAATAAAATGTTAATATTGTTACAGCTATTGCGCATTAAAAATGTTTGTCTGCGATAATTTATTATACGGCCACATATTATATTCCAGATTTTTAATTTTCATAATTAAACATTATAATCAAATGAAATAGTATTACAAGAAATAAAACCTTATATTTAATATTTTAATTATTTATCTGTGAATAGATACTTTAATCAATTTAATTCAATGAGTGCAAATCATAGACGCTAGACGCTATTCACCTACTTACTTACACACATGACACAAATTTTTAATGACAGAAAGTTATCGTTATCATATTCGTTTGCGGTACAAATTTTTTACTAACAATGACTTCACAATAATAGATATCGTGTAATTTAACTGAAATAATACACATCAAAATATGATTGATACGTGGAGCTTGTGATTATTAAACAAATACCTATTTGCAATAATTACAATTGCATTGAGGTGTAATTGATGAAATACATATAAATGTACAATGTGTAAACCTAATATTGAAGTATATATGATAAATAAGGTTAACTTATAAGACGAAAAGATCTCCAAAATTCTGTGATTTCTTAATACGCTATTAAGCATAAAACTTTGACTAGTCATCGTATGCAAATAAATATTGCTTAATTCATACGCATGTCATAGTTTCTCAGGCAAATATGGTATCTTCATGGTGTTATTTCATATTACCAGTAGTTTTATTTATTGGATTACTTCGAAAATGTCGTGAACGAACATGGGGAAGATGTAAAAATACAGACAGTTTGTTAGGTCGAGTATTCATTGTGACGGGTGCCAATTCTGGTATTGGTAAAGAAATAGTAAAGGAGTTAGCTAAAAGAAAAGCTACAGTCATTTTAGCTTGTAGAAATTTACAAACTGCTCAAAATGCGATGTCCGATATACGCACTCAAATATCTACTGGAGAATTGGTAATATTATTTCCTAATTATTTATTTCTACCTCACAGTTAATGTGACGGATGTAGTTTATGTACGTATCTTGTGTATCTTTAAAAGATGTTAATTTTTCAGGTACCGATGGAATTAAATCTAGCATCGTTTGCATCAATCAGGGAATTTGCTAGAGAAGTAATAAAAAATTTTGCAGAGGTTCATGTTTTGATTAATAATGCCGGAGTATACGTTCCTTTTAAAGAACATGCTTCAACCAATGATGGATTTGAAATTCATTTTGGAGTAAATCATTTAGGTCACTTTTTGCTTACAAATTTACTTCTGGAACATTTAGAACGAAATGGGCCAAGCAGGTTTGTACCATAAAGTGAAATATTTATTTCTAAATTACTCAAATTTGTTATTTACTCGTTTAATTGTTTCTTTGGAAATAGAATTATTATCGTGACGTCTAAACTTTTTGAATCTGGGATAATTGATTTTTCAAATCTAAATGGGGAGAAGGGTTTGGTAGTCAAAGGACGCATGAATCCCGCGTATTGCAATTCAAAATTGGCAAATACTTATTTTGGTATTGAACTTGCAAAACGCACAGAGAACAGTGGTGTTAATGTTTACATGGTTTGTCCTGGATTCACTTACACAGGATTATTCAGAAATGTGAAAAGGAGTTGGTTTCATTATATCATTTTTTCACCTGTCGCTCTATTATTTTTACGTACTGCAAATCAGGTAGCTATTTTTATACACTACATAGTATTTTTTATGGAATACCAGTTGAAGTTTTGTAATAAATATTCCATTACGTTTATATATTTTTGTTATAGGGTGCACAAACTGTATTACATTGTGCAATAGAACCTTCATTATCCAACGAAAGTGGTAATATTTACCGTGATTGTAAACTTTATGTTTCGAAGAAGAAACTAGACTCTGACGTAGCACTACGCTTATGGGATGTGAGTGTAAAATTAACTGGAATGACTGAATCTGTAAAATGAATATTTTTATGTATATTACATACATTATTTTACTTTTAACGTAATATTAGTGGCCGTTTAATATTTATTTTTATATGTAAATATCATAGCATAATGATATAGTAACAATGGAGATATTACTACCACAAATCTTATAAGAAATGGTAACATATTTTTGTTTGCATTGTTACAAATAAAATATCTCACTATATAATTTTTTAAAATACTAGAATGTTGAAAATGTTATAAATTTTATTAAATCCTCTTCAAATTATAATAAAAATGAGAAAAACTTCAATACCAATAATAAAAAAATTGTTACGTCAGTAATAATTTGTTTTGATTGTTATATCAGTTGTTGAAAGAGAGAGAGAGAGATATTATATCATAAAATTATACACAAATTATTCTACTCGCGAATCAAATTATAAAAAAAAGTATTTATATGTAATATTATTTTTACATTGATTATTATACACACAATAGGTGTATGTGTTTCAACATGTCACTCATTGTAATAAATTAGAATATATAATGCAATATCATGTTAAATTATTCAAACATGTTTGCTAATTTTTTATTTTATAGTTCAAACATTCTGATTGTTTTATTTTTTTTCTTTTGATATTGAACTGAGTCATTAAGAAACTTTCATTGTAATCTTTTAATTTCTATTCTGTCTTTGCCTATTAGCATTTTTCATTGCAAATTATTAATTATCACATATTTAACGTGTTCATTATCTTATAGTAGTAAGTAGTATTTCTGTTGGTCCTCTTACACATAGTTTTTATATATATTTAAATTTCATGTGACAAAAATGACAGATCTAGCTTGAACACTATAGTTATCAATTAACATTACTGAATTTATACTATTTCGGATGTTTCAATATACTATATTCAAGTCTTTTAAATATGTATGTATACAAACATTATTTTCAATTAATTACAAGAAGAGGAGAATATTAACTCAACTTGATAACATTGCTTTTACACGAAAATATTAAAACAATATCAGCTTTACACAGTAACATCACAATTGAAAAAATATGAACACATACTAATCTTTATACTATGATACTAATTCTATATACATTATTATGAAAATTTTTTCTTGATATTATATAATTAATAAAAAGCACAATTAATAACTGCATCAACCATCATACATTGCACACGCGCCAGCGCGCACGCATGCATGTAAAAATTCAAATGTACACACGTACATACTAAATTTATTATACGTAAATAATAGTACTTAAGATACACAATATTCACGCGTGCATACATACACATACACTCAGTTTCCAATGTAATTTGACCCGATGGATTATCTCATGAGAAATAGAAATTATGTTTTTACAAAAATTCTTTAATATAAATAAAAGGAACATTATATTACATAAATAATCTTTTTAGGTAAGGTAGTCGGAGGGATTTACAAAATCAATTTAATTTTTTCAACTATCAAGTCTGATAAACATTTCTATATTTTTTTAATATTACGCAATACGATAATATACAAGACGAATTATTGTGACGTCTAAAGTTATAATATGTTATTTAATACATCTGTTACAAAGTCATAAATTCGTTAATTGACGTCATTATACTGTTCGAATTGTCTGATTTCAACATTGTTAACGTTGGAATGCGATTTTATCAAAAAATATATCAGATGCGATGGATCAATTGCGTGATCTATAAAATTGTCGAAATTCTTTGACAAATATAGTTTATCAAAATTTGGGCAATATCCGAAGGCAATAATTTTCTAAATGTGCTGAAAATGAAATCCTTAAAAAAAGGAATAAGTTTTAAATGATTCTTGTTATTACTGTAGTCGAACATTGGTGAAAACAAATTAATTATGTTCATTTATGTCGTCTTGATTGATCTTTCATTTTTTACATTTATTATAACGGTGATATTTTTCATTTCTTATATTTATTATAACAATGATATCCTTTTAATTGTAGATTGTATATATCTTAAAAGTCTTAAAAGTCAAATATGATCTAGTAAGTTGAAAGATATGAGACACAAGCAATTCCATCTTCATTCATAGCTAGTGGCTTTCCAAACGTTAATAGACGATTCACAAATTTGTAACATGTATTACGATAGTTTATCTCATATGGCAAATAGTTAATAAATTTCAATAAATGTCAATAAATGTCATCTTATCATAATTAAAAAAAAAATAGAATCTTTATCTACAAAAAAGTTAATTATATCACATAACGTTACTTTTTATACCAAAGAATTTTTATAAAAACATTTTTTTCGTAATAGCTTCGATTTCTCAAGAGATCCTATTTTCAATTAAAGAAAACACCCTGTATGTATCACACCTAAGTTATTAATTATATTTAAGAATTGAAAGAACGCGATGTAAATATATAACAAACATTTTTAACACAATATAACAAATATAATTCCTTCATTTTCTATTTAACAATATAACTAACTAAGAAATTCTTATTTTATAATTTAAAAAACTGATAAGACCGTTTCATTTTCATTTTTCATATAGTAATAATGTTCATATCGATCTAATCTTCTCTATGTAACATGCAGTGAACATTTTTTGGATCTGGTGCGTTCGGATATCAACTATTACAACAATGACAATATTTTGTTCGATTTTAGTATGTAAATACTACAGTCGTTTCATAACTTTAAAACTAGTTTTCTTACTGGCTAAAGCTTCAGTGCGTGCATATACATTTTCTGAACTACGTTTAATGATATCTATGTATTCGCTTGATGTTTGAAAGTCACATTTGGTTGTTTCGTCATATGAATAACAATCCGATTTCTGTGCTGTTTGTATCAATTCCGTTTCCAGCTAAGATATAAAGAGATAATATTACATTAATAATAAACAATAACATTTTAATCGAAATTTTTACATAAATCTATTTACCATTGATTCTCTGTTTGTATTCTTGTGGCACCAATTTTTAGAGTGTACAGAATCTACTCGATCTTTTCTACATATATAAAAAGAAATAATTTAGTTATTGATATTTCTCATTTTTATATCTTATTTCTTCGTTGCGTATATATATTTTAACATGTACTTACTTCGATTCAGAATTATATCGTTTTCGCGACGTAAGATATTTCGATGAAAGATATTCTTCTGGATAACTACAAATAGAATTTGTCCTTTGTTTCTTCTCAGTTTCTTCATAAGCACAAGACATTATATCGTCTAAAGACAAACATGATTTAGTAAAATGTTCTTTGCTACACATTGACGGTTCTGTTGCAACTGAATTATACTCATGGTCGCTAAAACTTTTATCATTAGGTGCCATTTGGAGTTTATCACAATCTTCTGGAGCTTCATTTTCTAAATTATAATCTTTATCGTGCCTTTCATTCTTTAAAGTATTATCTACATCAGTGATATTTATTAAAATATCATTAATAAACGAAATAGGTTCTACAGTTTCATCTTTTTTAATTACGTTATTATCATTTGAAACGTCATCCCCGTTTTGACTGCTAGTAAGTGCCATTTCGCAGCTACTTATAGAATTTGAGCTTCGATCTCTTACACTTACAGAACCCTCAAAACTATCTGTAACATTAGTCGACTTCGACACTGAAGTTGGTATCATAATCTCGATGTTATTTTCTATCGCACTTTCATTATTTATTTGAGAATTGTCATCAATATTTGTTATATTATTTAAAATAGCATTATTTAAAGTTTCATTACTACTATTACTTGATCTATCTTTTACTAGTACCAATGTTTTATTGTCTATAGCACTTTCTTCCGACTTACAAATTCGTTTCGATTGACTACCTAAAACAAGGGACTGCACTGGTTTATCTAAACCTTGGTCCAAAGAAGAACCAAGAGAAGATTTTATACTTTTCAGTTGGCACATAGATCGTGAAGATCGGTGACATTTTTCAAAAATTATTTTTCGTATCGGTGGCGTTATACTTTGTTTACTGTTTCCAACTTCAATATCTAAAGACGAAGTAGAATACGTCCGTTTTGAATTATCCAAACTACAAAAAAGTTTCGTGAAATTAGGAGATATTTTATAAGACATTAATTAAATAAAATAAAAATGTAACGTACTGAGATTGACTTGGTTTAATATTTATCAAAGTAGCAAGATTTGGAAGCGTTGCTCTTAAGTCTGTTGTTGGAAGGCCGCAGTACCACCTTAATTGAGCTATATTTTTATTTAGTAAGTAAACAGCATAACGGAACTGTAATTTATCTTTACTTCGAGCAAATAGAGGAAATCTGAAAAATACAATTACGTAAACAAAAATTAGGCGGATGAATAAAAAATAAAATACTCACTGTCTTTCATTATCGGGTAAATTTTCTGTAATATGATCTATAATTTTGCTACGTGACCCATAGTGTATAATAGGATATCTAGTAGGTATGTTAAGAAAATTAGCAATCATTTGTGTAGTATGTGCAACGAATCCCAATGCTACAGCAACTACAGTGTCATTTGATAATTCTAAATCTTCGCTATCCGGTAAATGAACATCGTGTATTCTAAATTTTCCATTTCCACCCTGTATTATATAAAATATATTAATTTATAATAAATCTATAAATTAACATTAATTTTTTTTATTCATTTCGTATTTTTTTTTTTTTTTAATATTTCACATTGTGTTAAATATTTTACACATACCTGAGAAATGGGATATATCAAGCTTAATTCCGAAATCAATTGTTTTCTTCTATGAGCAAGTTGACTACTCAACTGAATATATGTTTCTCTCGTATCTATTTGATTTTGGCGCCATTCGTGTAGTCTCTCAATGTCTTTATTTAGTTCTCTATACCTTTCCATTAAAGTGGAACCTAATTACAATAAACGTGTTAAGATAAAATTATTTTATTCAAATTACAATATATATACATATATTATAAATAATATTATGTAACAATCAATACCATAATCTTGATTTTCTTCCATAATATTAGAATGTATCTGATTCAACACTCTCAATTCTCCCATTTTTCTTGCTCTTTCTTGTTCTAACAATTTTGTTCTAAATTTTGCTACCTCTAATTCTTTGCGTATTTTTAATATTTCTGCCTTCTTCTCCCTGTTTACTTTACGAGGTTGAAATAATCTGTTTAACGAGGATTGTGAATACTTTGACGTATGAAAGTTATCTCCAGAAGCAATTTGCATCCGAAGTGTCTGTACTGATTCTGTTTGCTGTTTCAATGCTTGCATTTTATTTCTTAAGCTGCTAAGCTTACTCACTGTGTAACTATCTCTTATTTCAGATGTATTGACTTTTATACGTAGATACCTTTTTAACTCAGGAATTTCAACAAAACAGTATATGGGAGTAAAATATCCACCATGAAATTGGAAAATTAAAGAATTTTCTTTCAAAATAGTTTCTAAATTATTTGGTAATTTTGGACCAATATATGCCAAGCCAGTAAAAGATACGCCCCACGTAAATATGGTCAAATCAGTTGTTACATTATCGATGATCATCCTTTTCCATAATCTTACAATGACTTCTATTACAAAGGAAAAGAGACGTTCTCTTCATACATTCCATATATTACAAATTTAATTAGAATAAAATATTGTGGGATTAAACACATTTAGTCTTAATTTAACTATAAGCAAATGATTATGTACTTATTATAATAGATATAAAACTTACCATTGGCAGTAGAATAACTGGTGGCATATATAATTGGTACTTCTAAACTTGACCATCTTGGATTTACATTGTCGATTGCCTCGCTTGTATATATAGGAGAAGACATGCTTGTTCTATGTAATGTATAATAAAACCAACAAATTTCGTTATTCATATCTGTTTTCAGATTGCATCCTATTATTTGTATAAGATTTCTGAGTCTTAACTGAAAATTATACGTTTCATTAGATAATTTGACATACGCTAATTTTATGTTATCTCATACAAATAAACATGATCTTAAGAACATAAATAAGCATTATTATAATTAAAAGTCTCATTTCGTAGTAATTAAACAAACTAACGATTAACAAATTAATAAAATTCTAATTGACAATTTACTTGTATTAAGAATAACATTGAATACGATCACTGACCATATACATACATTTATGTTGCCATGAACATTTATAATATATGAAATTCTATAAAACTAAGATCACGACAACTATTTTACGACGGATAATTACCTGTTGTGTAGCAAGGGGAAGCCAAGTTTTATATCGTGGAAATATACGAGGTTGTAGGGTTAAATCCAAATCTCTAACAAGATTTCTTGTCTCTGAAACCTCCATTATATACTTTCATAATATTGCACAAGTAATATCAGTAAAAAAATAAAATGATCTAATGTTATTGCGCGACAAGATTTAATTAATATTTAAACTTATAGCGCACTTTAAGGTTATATGCCTGTCTGTATATATTTAATACTTGCGTAAATAACGATAAATAACGTGGAATATGATATTCGTTTCGCTTAAGATTTTAATCTTTTTAATCCTATCTCTTGACAATAATTATTCCTTTTTAATTAGATTCGCAAATTCGTACTAAAATACTGTCATTTTCTAAATTTTGACAGTTCTCCACATTGACATTTTGCAAATATTTCGGTATTCGTTGGGTTCTTTAACCAATCATCTCCGAGCAGAGTCAAACATTTAAACTTGAAGTTACTTCACAATTTTTATGATTTTCAACGAAAAAATCCTCCAACACAATACAAGTAATACAATAAATTCAAATTTAAGAACATTGTCACTGTCACAGCCTACTTTAGATACAAGCCGTCGTGAGAGTAAATTCGGCAACAGTGTCTAGCCTCTCATCCCGATATAAAAATAATCCAATAACAATAGTCTCCCGCGATTTTATGGAATATTTACAATGATACGCGTTGCCATAGCAAATGATATTAAACAAAAACAAAACACAGTTGCAAAATGAATGATCGCAATGATAATGCCAGTAACATAACGCATGTAATATACGTCAATGCGATTTAGTATTTCTTCCATCGTAATACAATTACAATATCTCAAACTATGTATGTAACTCTCATGTTATGATATGGAAATGATGTAAATATACAAAACATTAGAAAGGGAATAATTTTTTTACTACGGATTTTAATTGAGAATTCATCGGTGTTTTCCATCGTCAGGATAAAAATTATATCTCATACATACAATGTTTTAGACAATTATGTAAATATATACATATATATTTTTAAATATATAACAAAATGGTACAAAATACAACAAGCGTTTTCGTAATGTGATCATCGTTAAGTCGATCACATAATACACCAACAACAATATGTTTATGCATATATCTTTATACTATATAACACAAGTTAACGCCATTTTCGTGTAATAATTATCTAACTAACGATTACTTTTCTATCTCACGATCTTACATGGTAACGGCAGTAAGAGGTTAACTTGGATATCATAAATTTGAATAAGATCGACAAATTGTTTATCGCGTATGGACAATCAATTGATCCTTTTGTGCGTCTTCATTTTCTTTTGTTGCAAATGAAGGTAATTCTGCTTTAGTAGCTAACTGCAAAGAATGGAACCACCTGAAATAAAATTTGACGAATCCTATTATAAATGATCAATTTCAACGATATCGTACGTAATGTAAATATATACATGATAAAACTTACTTCTGTTTATCTTCATTCGATAACGCTTGTAAATAGTAACTTTTTCTAGAATGATGCATTTTAAGAGCTTTAGGCCTATCCTTGAAACTCAAAGGATCCTCGTCGGATAATTTAGTACCCTCCGTAACGATAAAACCAGGCATGGGAGTTGCCGTCAGAGCCATATTTTCAGATTCAGATTTAAACGTGTACAAAACAAAATCTGCATGTAACGCAAACCATCGTCGTGTCCAAGGTTTACTTGGTTGTGTTTTTAACATAAGATATCCAGATATAACGGACGAAGCGCTTGCTGAAACTTGTAATAGACTCGGTACCGGCCCGGATGTGGACGTCGAAGAGGGTGACTTAACAAGCGGTTGCGTTAACGCGGCATAACAAAGGCGGCAGACTCTCATGTTTTTGTTATCTTCAAATAACAACTTTTGATTTGAACACTTGCTGCAAATAACCTACAAATAATAAGTAAAATATTGTGGAAAGAGACAGAGGAAAATGAAACGAGCGTAAAGAGTTGCAAGAGTTAATTTCAAGTTAAACGATAGCCGATAGTTAGGAAACGTTATCAAAGTGATACTCACTATTCCGCAAGCTCTGCAATTGTGTTTTCGTTTCATTACAGAAAATATGACCTCGCATATCATGCATCTAGATACGTCGTCAGTCTTTACAACAAGAGTTTTAACATCACCAGTTTTTAGGCTCGCTTTTCTTTTCATCATTTCTTGCATAGTGTCGAACAGCGCTTCGAGCCAAGCTGCCTTTTCTTCAGCCGCATGCGTGTATAATTCAACGCTTTTATCTTCGTCTCTTATGTAAAATGTGTTTGCTGTTTCCAGATTATCACCTTCGATCACTTGTAAATTTTCGATTAAGAATTTAGCTCTTAATCGATACAATGGCCCCGGTATCAATCTTATCGAACAAAGTAATAATAAATCGGTAAACTGAAACAAAGAACAAACAAAGAACATTTCTATCACTAAAGTCTAACATATGACATATTAATTAAACAAGTATTTATTACATGCAAATACAGTTGGCAAATTTATGGATCAGCAATCACGTATCCAGACTGTATTTAAAGTGTGCATATACGTACCAGAAACAAATGTCTTTCCTGATGATCACCGCTTCTTGCTGAAATTTTAACGATACGACCCTCTTTTACAAGCTCCCGTGTTGCACTAACTAGATCTGTCGTGTCGTATATACTCTCTTGTATTTCAAGAAGCTTTTTGAACTTGTCAATCTTCTTCATTGCATCATTTGTGTGATTAGCAGCAGTAGATACTAATTCCAACGCCTCTACGAGAAAGAAAGCCGTGTCTGTTCGTTTGATTCTACGATTATTATCGTCGCCATCTACGGACGTCTATTTAAACGTGCCCCGTTCAATAGACGTTTAAATAGAAGCCAGTCCTTGCTAGATGCGCATTATTTTATGCGGAAGTAACTCATCGAATCGAATGGAAAGATCCTTACTTTTAGTATCCCTGTAATCAGCACTTTCTTCTGTGAGGTTTCTCAAGTAATCTTTCAGAAGAAGCTCGTATCTCGGTAATCTTTGTATAGGACTTAACATATGATGAGGCAACGATAACTTGGCACACTCGTCCAATTTTTGAATCTCGTCGATGATCGCAGCAAATCTGGCGACTTTAGTTTGAAGAGTCTGTATCAAGTTCATGGCATAATCAAAGTTTTTTACATATTCTGTGTACATTTTAAGAAAAGGTGCAAAATTCTTCATTATATCCCCTATTCTAGGATCCGATTCCCAATTTTGCATCCTCTCTTGAAGTTGGGGTAGTAGAAAATCGTTGTGAAACTTGTAAATCGATTTAATATTAGAGAACATATGCTGAACAGTTTCTGGGGGAAACATAGGATGCGCTCTATTCTCTTGATCGATTTTGAACTGGAACACTTGATCGATCAATCGTAAAATACTAACATAATTCTTTTCAGTAGCTAACAATTCTTCGGCAACGCGACGTGCAGTTTTTCTTTTGGAATCCGTATAAACTACCGTGCCTTCGATCGATTTTAGTTTCGAAACCGAGTCGTCAGTACGATCCACGGTTATTGCAGAATTTGTTTCCAACGATCTTGGATTTGGATCTTCTGATTCTTCCTCGCTCTCAGACTCACTTATCGCATACGATTCCACTGCATATCGACGAGAATTTCTTTCCGTGGTTAAATATCTACGATATCATGAATTTTCATCATTTTTATCCTTCTTCGTGACCATTCACAATTAAAATACGACAAACTCTAGTTAACGAATGCTACAAACTTACCTACTATTTCTGTATTCCAACATGCCACGTGACACCCGCACGAATGGTACTTGCATCGAATTCTCTTCACTTTCTTCAATGACGATACGTTCTGCTGAACTTCCAGCTGACATTACAAAGGAACGAAATCGTGAAAAACTTCCGAAAGAAGCGATTTTATGGAAAGAAGGTCCATCATATTCTTCCTGTTTCTGATCTTGTGCTATCATTTCGGGTTGATTGGATTCTTTACTCACGCATTCCTTCAACTCGTTTAGGTCACTTTTTCTATCCACTAGTTCGTCAGATTCCAATTCAGTATAAAACGTACTGTTTGACGTTTGTGTTTTCGGTGCAAACATCTTGAGCGTTTTGTTAAAATCACCTCTATCCTTGAATCTTGTCGTCCAAAGTGAAAAATCTATTGAGCGATCCTGTTGCATCCTAACAATAAGTTTAAATTCATTAACCATTTAAGGATTACAACGTACAATTGTTGTATTAAACAATGCAGAGAAAACAAGTTATTTTATAAAAGGAAAAAAGAAAAGAAACCTATTATTATCTTATTACCTTTTCGCGATATAGTTGTTTCATTCAATATATACATTGGAGCCTGAATTAATCGAAACCAGCGTCGATTACCAACAACTGAGCCCCCACGAGCCTTCTTGATTATACGTTCGTTAAACATGAGTATACACATGCATATACATATATATTGTTGTACGTTGATGCGAATCAACGAATTGCTCTATCGACTCTGCGAATGTATTGTAATTTCGCACAGGACAAACGTAATTATTTTGTAGCAAAGAACTTGAAATCACACTTCAGACCCACATCCATGTCAATTCTGCAGACAAATGTTCGACTTCACTGTTCGACTTCACATAAACAAAACATTTTTCTTTCATCTTTAAATCTGACTGAGATCAGAGAGGATCTCAAAAAGATAATATTTAATATTTTACCAAAAATCGTTAAGAATAATCGACAGGGTTAAATGACAAACTCCCTTGTAAATGATAAAATCTTTCATTTACAACCTCCAATTTTGATCTACTTTGACTTGTTTATGATTAATATGGGATAATATTAACGATATACATACGGTAGACAAAATCAGTATAGTTAGATACACCTTGGGACAACGTACTACGTGCCATCTATATTTATGTACGTCATGCATACCGATGATGTGTAACCATTGACTATCTTTAGCCAATAGCGTAACGCGTGAACATGGCAGATAGCTTATGTGTATTTTCTATTATACGCATATATGATTTTTATAGACACGGTGGTATATTCACATGTTTAACGAGCACGCAGAATGAATTTTTAAATTTATTAAAATACTTTCGTAACGAGCAAAAAGATAGACAACGTCTATTTATTAGCCTTCGACATTCACATAGTTCCCATAAAATCGACCAATAGACAGCGAGATTCAGTTAGCAACGTGCAAAAGGAGGAGAAGGCAGACAAGGAGAGAAAGAGAGTCGTTCGAAAACGAGTCGTTACGCCTTTAAAGAGATGTATTCACTGTCTAGTACTGTTCCTTAGAATAACATGTCGATAAAAGATATTGAGATTGTGATAAAGGTACCAAATATAAGAATTGAAAATCCAGCTGAAAGTATGTAACTACGTTAAAACTTAAGAATATAGATGACTGAATATACACGATGAGATATATAATTCGAAGAAGGTTATCAATTATGTCTTTTCGTTTCACGATGTAGCTTGGAAGAAAAAGTTTATCATCATTGACATTGCTTATCTAATGGTGCGTAAAATCATCGAGCATCTTCGTTGAATTGATCATTTCCATCTAATATACTGACCGTCAAGAGGTTTCGCGGGTGTATGAGTTTATGGGTAATATTTCCCAAGATTCTTTGGTACGAAATTACGAGGCTGCGCGAAACATCGAAAGTTGAATTTGCTGTACGAGAAAGAAAGACAAAGAAAATAGAAGAGAGAAACAAAAGACATTCGAATTTTATTCGACTTTACTTTATTCTATATTGTCGTAAATAATAAAAATCCCGACTATACAGCTCGTACTTATTTCAACAAATGGCGAATTTTTGGTTTACACGTTTCTCATTTCGTGTCAATTATAACTATTGTTTGTCTCATCGTCGGTTCACTCTTCTTCGTAATTATCAACAATATTCGCAATAATTAGTATTACTTCTAGATATTGTTGAGATTACTTCTCGCATACATATATGTAGGTACATGTGTATAAAAAATATTGCTTACAAGTGTAGTGGTTCTCCGCGCGTCTCCGTTTGTCTTGTCTTGTCTTGTCTTGTCGTTATACATCTATCGTCAGGCGAATAGTTAATACTGGATATCAAATTGATCAATGGGTGAATCCCCTTGAGACTGGACTTGTACACCTCTCTTCTAAATATTCGTGTCCCAAAATATTCAGTGGTCGTCGGTTAAAGGATAACTTGATACGATAGACGCTTGATACCATAGAATCTTCAATGCATCGCAAACAAGCGGATGCTGATGATCCCTGTTTTGAGACAGATGCTTACCTGCGGATATGAAACTAAGACACAAAATAATGACGTGGATCATCGACGATCATCGCGAAACGTTCTTTGTTCGCAGCTCTGGATTTGTAGAGAGATATGTCGACAGAAGGCGCAGAACTTTCGAATCGTTTCGTGACTCGAGATGTCGAAACCATGTCAGACGAGGCACAGGTAAAAGTACTTTATGATTTCATTTAACCGATTCTGTCCCATTGAAATCGTACGATTCATGTTATATCAAAAGTATCTTTTACTTGTTACTTTATTGTACAGAGCAATCGCATGGATATATTGGAGTGTCTTTCAGTTTTAATTAACGAGAATAATTCTGGATATGATCGAACAGAAGAACTAACATTGGATGAGCACTTGTTAAGTGGTGGCACAACTTTGACAGCAGTAACATTGCCCGATGGAACGCAAGCATTTGTTACCAATAATTTGAACAATGATGGTTAGAAATTAATCAACACACAAGAGGAATATGCATGAAACGTTGCTCGTATCAATAGCAAATTAAATGCCACCATTTTACTCATTTGTGCATGATTTCAAGATTTAATGCATGTACAAAGAATAATATTCAAACGTCGATAGAGTCGATTAAATTGTAATTTGTATTCTATCACTTTTGTAAATTTGTTGTCAACATCGCAGATTTGTTTGTTTCATAGACATGGATTTAAAAAGGCAAGCAACGTTAGAATTAGAGAGCGGAGATACAATATTGCTTCGAGACATAGCAGAACTTGCTGAAGGTAAGCCACTTCAACTGGAATTGGAGCCAGCAACTTTGGTTCAAGCTCGTGATACTACCATAGAAAATGTTGAGAACTATTCATGCGTGGAATTTATCGATGGTAATGCTTACATGGTAGCTGGTAATCTAGATGTTAGCAAAAATTTCTGGGAAATTGAAGACGGCAAATTGAAGAAAAAGGATTCCAAGATTTTATTAAATAAACTGTCAACATCGAGAATAAGACATCCTTGCCCTAGAGAGGGCTGTTCAAAAGTTTATAGTACACCCCATCATCTCAAGGTAAAGATCCTTTGTAACATTATTACAAGTTACAAGTTGATTCAGATTTATTTACAAACATGATCTTTTATGATCGTTTTATGATCGTTTGTGCGAATAAATCGTATCGACATCAACTCTGTTGAAAGAATCGTATTTCTGTTTCAATCTATCTTAGCTTATCTAGTTTGTGCCATGTTTTTTCGTTTATCACATGCTGTATCATGTATAAAAATTTGAATGATAATAATATTTGGGTTAATGAATCAGTCAGACTTGAAAAAATTCAATTATAATCAGTTAAAAACGGCGAAGCAATATTATCATCTTGTGTCGTTAAACCAGGTTCATGAACGATCTCACACCGGTCAACGACCATACAGATGCACACATCCGAAATGTAAAAAGAGCTTCTCAACAGGGTATAGTTTAAAAGCTCATTTGCGCACGCACACAGGAGAGAAACCTTACAAATGTCCAAACGAAACGTGCGATAAAAGTTTCAAAACATCGGGAGATTTACTGAAACATGTACGGACGCACACCGGGGAACGTCCTTTCTTGTGTCCGTTCAACGGTTGCGGTCGTTCCTTTACTACGAGTAACATCAGAAAGGTAAGAGCGTAAAACTGAAATTTTAGACTAGAAATTTGTTATCAAATTTACGGTTAATCTTGTATTTGTCATTGTACTAGGTTCACGTTAGAACGCACACTGGTGAACGACCATATAAATGTACGCAACCTAAATGTGGCAAAGCTTTCGCGAGTGCAACAAACTATAAAAATCATATACGTATTCATTCAGGCGAGAAGCCTTACGTATGCTCTATAGAGAATTGTGGAAGGAGATTCACGGAATATTCTAGTCTTTACAAGCATCATCTCGTTAGTAATTTTTTCAGTTAGTAATTTTTTTTTTTATAACGTACATTGCATTTCTCTACCTTTTAGGTTCATACACAACAACGTCCATTCGAATGTAAAATTTGCTTAAGGAGGTACAGGCAAAGTAGCACTCTTGTGATGCACAAAAGAACTGCTCATTCGCTAGTCGATAGCGATGATAACGTTGATGTTCTTTGCCAAGAATCTATACAAGAGTCTTCTAGTCGAAACAAAGATAGACGGAGAGGAAGCATTACGCGCGATAACAGTACTCCGTCGATAAAGGTAATTTAGAAGTCATTTTGCGTTTAGTATTTTTCACCTTGAAACATTTTCACCTTGAAACATTTTCAAATGTTTCTTTTTTCGTTTTCGGATATAACCAAAGATCACAGAAAAAGATGGGCAAATACAGATTTCTAAAGCGGTCGACGATTTAAATGATAATGAAACACAGATTTTATTGGTCGGTGATCCTTCGCAAATTGCAGCATTGCAGGTTCATTGTATTTACGTTTTTCTTTTATTTCGATCATCAACTTGATATATCCAGAGAAATTTAATAGTAGTACAGCCTGATCGTGTTTGTTACGTTTCATGTTTTCGCAGAAGATCGAGCTGAATGGTGGATTCGACGAGCCTGGTATTGATACTTCATTCGAAGAATTAAACATAAAGATCGAAGATATAGAACTTGGATGGCATTGATGCGTGTTTAACATGGCATACATATATTCGATGAATATTCGACGAATATTAAACAAAAACACAAATTGTTTATTTTATCAATCTTTTTAATTGTCTATTGTTTATCGAGTCTTTTACACGTACGTATAATTTGTAATTATCACTCTCAGTATTGGTAACTAACTAAAGATAACTTTTGGCTATCACATCATTCGAAACAATCAAAGAATAGTTTATTAGTTCATTCCTTTGTTGCTTAATAAAAAAAAAGAATGTATTCGAAGACAAGTTTCATCATTATTTACGAATAAATTGAATGAAATTTTTAATCGATCTTCTTGAACGTACAACAGTATAAAAGTTACCTCGTTAAAAATTTCCTTTTCCTTTTCTTTTATTCGCATTTCAAGTTTTTCAACGCGTTTCAACGTTGTAAGTGAAATACATACGAAGCAGGTTTTTCCTTTATCGGTTTATTTTTCGTTTCTCCTTTTTTTCTTCCTTCCTTCCTTCCTTCCTTTTATAAAAGACCTTCTATACGTTCTGTATGTATATTGTGAACAATAAGTATATAAAATTATAGATATACTATGAGTTTGTAATGACACGTAAGTCCATATATGTATCTAGTTTCAAGATACAAAATACAATTGATACAAAAATATTCGATGGTACAAGTTCTTTTATAGCTGATAAAAAACGTAGAATACGATATCCTACGATATCCTTTTATCATGTAATATTCGATACATCAGACAATGTATCGTACATGTAGCTAACAACGTTGAAAATTTGTGGTAAAAGTGAATGAAGATTCGATGAAAAGTCAACGAAAATTTGTTAAGTAGGAAGAAACTGACGTATAAATTACCTGTAAACGATTATACTCGTTGACCGTGTACAGAAAAGAACATCAATTGTTATTAGCACTAGTTTACTAACCAAATAACTATATTAACGTGTCCAGGTACGAAGTTTGAATTATTCGAAGAGATCGTTTTTGTACCAGTTACACGTGAACATCGAGTCGGTTATAATTTTTGCATACGATATCGTGAGTCGCAGTAGTTTTACTTTTCTTTTATTTCTCCTTTTTTTCTCTTTCTTTCTTTCTTTATTTTTCTTCCTCGTATTCATTATTCTGTTCGCGCTGCATCTGCTTTACTTTTTTAATCTACATTGTTTTATCTTTTCTTGTTTTCTTTCAATATACTTGCAGCAAAAATTTTTGCTGTAATTTTTCTTAAACAAATTTAGTTTTATTTTAAATCATTGTGACAAGATAAAAAAGTATTTCACACACATTTTTACTGATTTTTCGAATTTAATCATTTTTTTCCTTCTTTTTTCTTTTTTTCTTTTTTTTTTTTTTACGTAAAGTTGTTATCCTTGACGCTTAGCATTCTTGTGACATACTTTTGAACAAGAGTCATTTAAAGTTACTTCCAAAAGTAGTTGGGGCACGTGATCATCCAAGCGACTAGTTCTTGCCTTTATCCTTCCATAAAAAAGACGATTTTAGGATAATATCACGCGTGGTTGTTGCGCGATCATTAACTGCGTGTTGTAACGAGAAAAATTTACAGATATTGGTGATTTATTGTAAAAATGTGACTTTACTATTCAATAAATCGTTAAATAAGTGGCAAGAAAGGGTGAATTGTCTTTACTAGTTCTTTTCATCTAATATTTAAAGGTAATCGCTCGTCTCTTTTATGTAAATGTAAAGTATTTTTACCCACAAATTTAGCTATTTAGATAAAGCGCAATATAATTTGCGTTAATTCTGGCTTGTCTGTCGACGACATGAAAAAAACATAGGCAATAACTAAAAAGTTGAAGAGTTGAGAAAGATATGCATACATACATACATACATAGGTGTGAGGTTTACCACGAAGAAGGCACGCTTGCTTTTCATAGATAGTAAGTACGCATATAATCTCTAAGCTGTGGTAAATTTTAAAGCGATAAAGAAAGACAGAAGAGGAAAAAAAGTTTTAACATTATTATTGTTTTGATTTCTTAATTCCTTTCTGTTTTACAAAATTGGAAACTTTCGGAAAACTTTTCGCGATAAATAACAGTGATTCGCAATTGACAATATTCGTGACGATACCGTTATTCGTGCAATTTTCAAAACAAAATTCGTGACTCGCAGTGGGAAAGACACATTCGTGTAAAAATATCGACGATAGTAATAGTAGAAGTGGAAATTTCAAAAGCAACGAGTCAATCGAGTATAAGAGTATAAATCGTAAGGGATGAACGAGGATACATTTAACACGATGACACAAACGATTTAACCATATAACATTTTACAATGTTATCGGTATTAAAACGTGTTTGTTCTGTATTCTCGAGAGCGCAACTGTTTTACATACAACATATACGTACATACATATGTATTCTATTTCACAACCACTTGCTGTCGTTTTATTTGAAGTTGAAACAGATCATCGTCGTGTTTCTTGGTTTAAATTGCAATCGAAGTGTTATCGTATTATGCTACTGTATTATGTATCGTATTTAACTTTCGATAGCTTATTATCGAAAATGTTTTACTCTCGCTGCTAACACTGATTTGTTAACTCCACTTCCATTCGATATCTGCTTTAACGTCGTCTCAATGTGTAATAAAGATAAGCTACTGCATTCTTGTATATCTACACGATCAGTGAAATTTACACGTACAGAATGAAATTACATAAGCGTTAACGTCCGACATCTGTCAATTTCCCAAATTTCGGAAGAGTCGAGTAGTTTGAAATCTGTTTTTTCTTTTTCGATTTTATTTTCTTCCGATTTTCACTCTATTTGAGTGAAAATCGAGTGTTTGAGAAGACGAGACGATTAGTTATTAACTTACGACTAACGAACAGCAAGCATGGAAATGGAAAAAAGTAAACGACAGACTGATCCGTAACAAAAAGAAAAAAATGTGCTCTTTAGGCGATAAATCATGTATTCGATCGATCTTGTCCTTCGATCTTTCAACCAACAGGATATATTGCATTTTACAAAGTACATACATCGCGCAAGTTACGTAAAGAGTCGAAGGGAACATTTTTGTCACCAACTGCGCGGTAACTGCGAAAATTATAGTCACGCGGCAGACAAACGTCCCTAAGTTCAACTGCAGCCACCGAAGCGATCAGTGTTCTCCAATAATGTGTTTCCTACATTTAAGAAGATACTCGATTTAACAATTACCGCTTCCGACACAATTGCAATTAAAATAATTTCGGATCTTTTGTTTCGTTAAAATTGTCTCGCGCTTCTTTGTTACGTATTATTAGAAGAAATCTCTCGTCGCAACACGAGTTTGCCTTGCATTCATTCAGACGTTCGTTGCAGCCTAAATTTGTCTGTTGTCATTTAGTCGATCGGTTTCGTGTATCGCTTCGCACTAATTGTAAAAAAAAAGAAAGTGTCACGGAAGAGAAGCGCCACTGATTTTATGTGAGTTGTAAGTTGTAAGTAAAGTTATAATTTTAGTAAAGTTACTATTATTAATTACTACGATACAATGCGTTTGATACATTGTCACTCCAACGATGATTGATCGTTATTTGTTTGACAATGTCTGATGGAAAAATTCTTCTTTCAGGACATTCGATGGAAACGGAAATGGAAAAATAATACCGCATTATCGATAAAACGTTTAGTTGATGGCACTTAAAATCGTATCGGATATCTAACGGAATCGTCATCGCGAGGGAGAAGAAGGTGACATTCGAAGGTCGCGAAATCAGAGTCTAAGGAGTTATCACGCGATAATGTTGTCGTCTGCTTGACCGCCCAATAATCTGTTTTTAGTGCAGTAAGACTGGTAGTAAGAATCGCGACAACAATCGGTCGTTTCATCGTGGATTATTGCATATAGATATTGTCATAGTATACGTTGTCATCAATTATCAAATAACAGAGACAAAATTGAGAAGGCAAGGGACGAATCGATGAAACCCGACAAATTTTCGCATCGTTACTCTATCATAAATCTTGACAACAGTTCCTGACAGTCCATTGCCGCTTGGTTTGAAAGGTTCAGTCAAAGAATGTCGAAGAAGCAATGGTTGGTCCTGTTGATGCTGTTCTTGACTTACTTGTTGCTAGGTGCTTCCATTTTCTACCATATCGAGAGTCCCTTAGAAATCGAGCGCGCCAGAGAAGCCAAACGTGAACGCATCGAGATTAACGGTGAGCATAGTTGATCGTGTAATCGAAGAACAAACGATTATTTTGATAATTTAAGATCATAACCCCACGCGATTTAATGTTCATACACAGTAATCGCCATTTGAAAAATCGATATAATCAATGGAATGACACGGGAAATAATCACACGAGCGTATAACGATCTATTGTAAATTTTATCATTACCGATTATAACATTTATTAAGGATTTAAGAAAGATGGTCGAAATCTCTCTCTCTCTCTCTCTCCCCTTCTGTCTCTGTTCTTGAACAACAATTAGCAATCGTGATAGAGAACGAGTTGGTTGAATAGATTGATTCGATACCGAGTTACGAAGTCAATAGCGCGCGAAATCACTCGGTCGGCCACTCCCCAGAAAACTGTTTAGCAAATTCATCGGATCCTCCTACATTGGATTTCAACGTCACGTACATATATAAAATACGTACGTAATAAATTCAACTATTATAGAGATTGAAAGTACGACATGTTCTTGCACATGTTAGTCGACCTCTTCTTTTTTTGTCATTATCAATTTTGTAATTATCATCACAACCGTAATCTTAATCTTTAAAATTGGCGCTTCCGACCGTTTAAATGAATAATTACTTGTACGTACGACGAGCAAATGACTTTTACTTCGAAATAATTTACCAATCGTTGAACAAGCAATTGACAATAGTCAATTAGTATCTTTGATCGAAACTACTTTCACGATGTCATCGGAAATGCATGTTATTGAATTAAAATCAACAAATTGCGAGGAACAAATTTGAATCAACAAAGAATTACCTTTACGATATGAAATTTTTTAGCCAATATGTTCTTTGTCGAACCGTTTGATGTACGTAACTTCTTTCACAAGGTACATGCGCGTAAATAAAATTCCATAACCAATTCGAAGCAAGCAGAAAACGCAAATGATAAAAGAGTACGCAAGTGAAAAGATAAGATAACATTCGTTCGAGAATAGATAGTTGAAACGGAGAAATATAGAAGAGCGGGCAAAGTTTAAATGCTGATTACCACACTCGCGATTTGTGTTTTTGTTTTTTAAATTCGAATTGCGATCTTTCTCCCTGTTTCTTCTTTTTCTCTGCTGTTTATCTCTCTCTCTCTCTCTCTCTCTTACTCTCTGTCCTCCCTAATATAGTAAATTTTTAAACGGGTTACGGATATTTAGATTATGTATAGCCATATATACCATTGGTACATTCAGATTCTGATGCACGTTGCTTTTTCAGCTTTGCTTCATGCACATTATGTGCCTAACTTTAAACACGATTACGATGAAATTCTTAAAAAGTTGACGCAATATTGTGAAAAATCGGTTTATAATTATACCGAAGGAGAGACGGATCGCCTTGACTGGGATTTTTACAACAGCTTTTATTTTGCTTATACCGTCGTCAGCACGATAGGTACGTATATTCGTGTTACACGCGCTACCACGTGTATGTACATACATAAGTCTTTACACGTTTATATAGAATAAAGTTAGGAGGAAAGATGTGAAACGAGTAAACGTGTATATGTATATATGTACATATGTACTTACACATTCATACAGCCATCGTATCAATCGGATACCGATTCATAAAAAGATTCGGACACATGAGAGAGACACACGGTAGAGACAACGATTTGCGGCTGTATCATTTTGAGCTGTATTATAAAATTTTGACATGCCATCGACATCGAAATTCAAAATGTCGATTTGCCAATCATCTATTGAATATACGTGTGCAATACAGGTTATGGGAATTTGGCTCCGACAAATATGCTCAGCCGCATCCTGATGATATTTTACGGCCTGATAGGCATTCCTATGAATGGAATTTTATTAACGCAGCTGGGAGAATTTTTTGGGCATGTATTCGTCAAGGCTCATCAGAAGTATAAATCGTACAAACATGGCCACAGCGACTATTATGCCAGAAAATTGACAACATTTGAAACGGGCAAAGTTGGATTAGCTGCACAGATATTCGTTCATTTGATGCCAGGTTTCGTCATGTTTATTTTTTTCCCAGCATTTCTCTTTTGTTACTACGAACGTTGGACTTACGACGAAGCTGTCTACTATGCTTTCGTCACATTAACGACTATCGGATTCGGAGATTATGTGGCAGGTCAGAAAACATTTTCGTCACTTCTTTTCACCGACCCTACTTTTAACACGGACAATAATTTACATAGCGATTCGTGCAATGATAAAAGTAATGATGAAAAAAATACGTTTATATTGAAATACATATATATATATATATATATATATATATATATATATATATATATATTACATATCTATGTACATATGTATGTACTTTTTATACACAGAATGTTCTTCCCTTCTCTATAACAATCTAAATACAACATTAATAGATTGTCGCAAATTATCGATCATTTTGTATCGTGTCCGTATTCGATAGGAAAGGACAATAGCAAGGGTAGTGGATTTTTCTTTATATTATACAAGGCCTTCCTGATCTGTTGGATTTCCTTTGGATTGGGGTACACCGTTATGATTATGACGTTCATCGCGCGAGGTATGCGCAGCAAGAAGATTACTCGAATCGAGCATAAACTGGCGGTCAATTTAAAGCACACGCAAAGTAAAATTTGGAACGAATTCAACAAAGAGATAAACTACTTGCGTCGTGTTTTCAACGAATTACAGCTGTCCAAGGTCAAGGTAAATAAAATCCTACTCCTGATTCTATTTTTTCATTTTTCGTCGTTGTATGCTTATCCATATGATTTATCGTTCGATTTCTTCGACAATCACATATTTCACACTTTAGTCACATATTTCGATACGTTTCAGAGAGTGTATATCGATGAATGTAATTGCGAGATTCCACCTTTGAAATTCCCACGTAGCAACAGTTTCCCTGATCTTCGAGATTTGCTCTACTGTTCAAAAGAGAAGGACAGGCTGTGTAACAGACCTCGACGTCGCGCCAACAGCGAAGTGGTACCGACAGTAAGCAGTCTCTCTCTCTCTCTCTCCCTCTCTCTCTCTCTCTCTCTCTCTCTCTCTCTCTGTCTCTTTCATTCTCTTGAAATTAAACAATAAACAAAAATTCTAGTAGTAATATAAGAATAAGGATATATATATATACGTTCTTTTCATTGTTCAATAGGAAGCTGAAATAACTCGAGTCGTTTCCGAGACCGATTTGCAAAGAATCGACAAAACAGCAACATTCGCAACGCATGCGATGGTTCAGCCGGCAGAGCTGTTGGCAAGATTAGTAAACGTTCTTGGTTATATACCACCAGTTGCAGAAGACACTGAAGCCGATAATTCAAATCAGACAACTTTCGTTAACCAAGATATTGGATATCGTAGTAACAAACTCGAAGGGAATAATAGTAAAGAATACTCTGAAAAAGAGTCAACTCACGCGTCAAATACTGGATCGGGAATTCGAACGATCGGTCGTGAAAAAATACCAGCATATCGCTTTGCCAAACCTCGTTCAAGAGCGACTAGTGAGATTAAACTATACGAAACGAAGAACGAAGATCGAAACATCGAGTGGACATGGTCTGGTCCAACAACGGCTAAAAAAGTTCGAGAACTAATGAAATCACGAACAAGTGAATCATCTGACAGAGAACATGGCAGTAAAGAAGGAAAATTTTCGAAACTTCGTAGCTTTGCATTAACAAGATCCATTTCCAAAGCTCTGGTCTCGTCCGCTCCTTGGAAAGGTCGTTTCTCAATGAGCTCGGAAAAAAAGAACCCAAAATTGGATCATGAGATTAACAGGGACAACGGACAGTCATTCGCCTCGGAATCTGTGTCGATCGACGATAGACGAGATTCCACCACTTCGAATCTACAAAGACATTACTACACGCATACCGGTGCAGATGGCAACCTTAACGCAGAAACTGCTAATCATTTGCTCGAGGAGACCAGTTTGGCCGATTTCTTAAGAGCTCTCACCGTTCTTCACGCAAGTGTCGCTACCAACAGTAGCTGGACCTCAGTCGCGAATGCGGATCAGTTTCAGCGTGATCAACCTCGGAGAAAAATGGGTATCGCTTCTTTGACACCGCCAAAACTTCCTAGCTTGTTCACGTTATTTTCACCTTCTCCACCTACATCGACGACTCAAGCTAATCAAAACACTGCTGCGCAAGAATCTTACTCGAACGAAAACAAGCTACTCTCATCTCAAAATCGACGAGATTCGAGAAGAGGTAGTTTGATGTTCATCACACCCACAATCAACAAGTCAAGAAGATTTTCTTTGAGACCTGTAGCGACACCCGTTAGTCCTCCAACGCCTCCGAAAAATGATTCGCCATATTTATCGGTAAGTTCAGCGATCCATCCATCGATTCAACAATCAATCGATCGATTGTGAATCGACGATGTTCTCTCTTTGCCTTCAGAAACGAAACGAATCTTTGATTTCGTTTTAACCCGTTTCATTCTTTCATGCATTACATTTCACGCCATTTACATTTACTTTTGATTTTTTTTTTTAGGACTCACGGAGAACGGCACACGAAAATAGATCATCGTTTTTGTTCGAATCGCTGAAAGAACCTCTTATTCTAACAGAAAGAGTACCAGGCCATTCAACGCCAATAAAATCATCCCTGAACGATCGACGATTCTCGTTACGACCTACGACCCAAAATCCAAACGGATCTCCCCTCGTTCCTTCGTTCAAGGCTATACCTCGTTGGAAAGCCGGCATGTTGCAACGACAAATTGGCCAAATGAATCTTCGACGTCGAGCCAGAGCCTTCAGTTTGAGCGACGTTCACGCCGAAGATCTCGAGAAAAGAGCCGAACCTTTCGATCTATCGTCTAAAATTTGCGACAAACGTAATCGCAATACAAAAGACTGCTGTAAAATTGTTTCTCCAAACGAGTCCAAGGATTTGAGAAATAACGAACTTGTGAAAAATTTTTCCATCGAAAATTCTGATCAGTTTACGTCTTCGGTTCGTGGTTCGAATAGACGATATTCGACACTTTCACAAGAGACTGCTTGTACGAACAATTCTGTCCGACTCGAAGAAAAAACCGTGCAAATTGTCGAACCAGACATTAGTAAATCGACTGCAGACGTAATCCCGACCGAAAATATCAATTGTTCGATCAACGATCGTGCTTTTTGTCCTCGGTTAGGCGACAGACACGATGAAGAATTCGTTTCATCCAATACAAAGGAACAAATAATATTGTCAAATGATTTTTCTACTACTATTGACTTTACCCCCGACTGTAATTTACTCGTCGATGTTGACACGAAATCACAGGAATCGTTAATGGAAGTAAAAATAGAAAATCCCGTTACGAATATCGTTTGTAATTCTTCTGCAGCCGATGTTTCCTTAAATAATTCACTTGATTCACTTTCAGAATCAAAGATTAGAAAGCATGGGTCACGCTTGCCTATTAATAAATCGTGACATTCTGCAATGTGTAAAAAGCCTAAAACTCAGTATATCTGCAATCATTTTATGATGGTGCTTCATACTTGGATCAAAATATGGAAAATACTTTGAAAGATAAATAGAATTTCAAACATGACACGGTTATAAATGAACAACAAAGTGTTTATAAATGTGGAAAAAGTCACGCGATTGTTTCTCGAATGCTGTCGCTTTGTTTTGTGGTCAATTTCACGAAAACAAAAAAGATTAGATTCGAGAGCAACAGAAAAAAAGGAAAAAGGAAAGAGGAAGAGATAAGCCCCTCTTCTCTCTTCTACACTATTTGCACCGATACGTTGAATTCTTTCAATTGTTTTAAAGCAGCGGTTATCGTTTCTACTTTTTTCTTTTGCCTTTTCCTCCCACTTTAAACGAAAGTAGAATCATGGTCGAATTACTATGATTTCTAAGAGAGACGATATTTCGCAAGAAATGATTTTCAACATATAGTATTTTTTGACATCTATGTATGTATTTTTGTTCAATCGTTCGATATAATAAATTATGTATAATTTAGTTTATTACACAGGAACGCAAAATTTTTTTTACTTTCTTACGTGTTGCGAAGGAAGCTATCGTACAATGAATGTATTTGTAAAAAATTATACTTGGTGAATGGATCGAACAATCACTGTTTGGCATGATACTATTTGACTATATAAATTAACAGTTTCGTGTTTCAAGTATTTCATTATATATTTCTATAGTCTTTTTCTTATCTCTTCGATTAAACATGCTCGTGGAATCGAAACCTCGGCACGTGACGCAACATCTCTCAACGTAACTTCTCCTCTAGCTAGTTCTCCTTCGCCGATTATTACAGCCAACGGTATTCCACTTTCTTCGCAATACTGTAATTGCGCAAGCAATTTTACGTTTCTTTTGTAAGATTGTTCAGCTTTCACACCGGCGTCCCAAAGAATCGACAAAAGTTTCATTCGTTCTTCGTGCAAGTTTTTTTGCGCAGTCGCTACGAATACCTCGACTTCGGTAGTTCGCGTTTTCACTCCTTCCTTATTTAACTTTGTCTCTAAAACGTTGAAAATTCGCTCCACACCCAATGACAGACCGACACAGGGAATCGATTTGTTTTTGTTATCAAACATTCCAACCAAATTGTCGTAACGACCACCGCCTGCAACGCTACCAACGCCAACATCGTCACCTGCAAAACGAGATAAAACGACTAGTTTTTAAGCGATTTTTTTATCAACAGATGCTGTTTTAACGCATCGCGGAAAATCTTTAAGAAAATTTACCGATCAATATCGCTTCGAATATTACACCTGTGTAATAATCGAGTCCCCTAGCAAGACTAAGATCAAAAATTATTTTGTCCGTCACTTGCAATATGTTACAGTATTTGAACAATAATTCCACAGACTCTAGGCCTTTTACTGCAGATTCGTATTTCATTAATTCGTTGTCTTCCCTCAATTTAGAAATTAACTCCATTTCACCAAACTGCGACACGTAAGTGCCAATTTTGTCAGCACTGGATTCATTCAGACCTTTTTCTTCGATCATCTCTTTTCTGACTTCCGACCAGGAATTTTTATCCAATTTATCAATAGCTGAACACACAGCACGAAACTTGTCACTTGGAACGCCACAGGCAGCAAATATACCGTCCAATAACAATCTGTGATTCAATTTAATCCTATAAGGTCCTATGTCCAGAGATTGTAACGCCTCGGAAATAATACGAATACATTCTGCATCTGGTATCATAGGGTCGTATTGTCCAGCTATGTCGAAATCCTTTGATTCAGGAAAGAAAAATATCAACAACAGGTTCATCAACAACATTATTCACAATGTACGTTGATAGACTTACGCATTGGTAGAATTCTCTGTATCTACCCCTCGTTGTGGATGGATTGTCCCTTCGGTAAACTTTTGCTATATGATACCTTTTTATGGAAGAGATCTTTCCCATTGCCAGATATCTAGCAAAGGGTACAGTTAAATCATATCTCAAAGATAAAATTTCTCCACCTTGGTCCTTCAAGTCATAGATCAGTTTCGAATCCTCCCCATACTTTCCTGTCAAAACTTCCTAAGTTGAAAATAACTTTTATTTAAAACACAAAACAGACACGTCCGATTTCATGCAAGTCAAAGTTAACAATTTTTACTTACTTTTCGTTCAAATACAGGAGTATCTATAGTTTCTGCGCCATGCTTTTTAAACACTGCCACTATTTTATCCAGTACTGCAAGTCGAAGTGCCATTTGTTCAGGGCCATAGTCTCGCGTACCTTTAGGCGTTTTAAGAATGAGCTTGGAAGGTGCTTCGCCATTCTTGGCTCCCAATTGAGCTTTCAACTCCAATAATTTGGAAACTTCCTCTGCAATCTACACGAAATTGAAAATCAATCGACGCTGTTTAACATATAGATTTTAGATTAACGTTAAATAAAGTTAATGTTTTTTGTTGCTCGTCAAAGAAAATTGCCTATTTATACATTCTGCATACCTTTAGCCTCGAAAGCATCGACGCATTGCAATATTTTTGTGCAGGTAGAAAGGCGTTGGTCCACATTGAACGCAACATCCGGCGATTTAAAAGAACCAGAATCAAAGAGAAAAGTCCGCCTCAATGCTGATTATCAAACTAGCCGAAAGAACAAATGGTACCATATAAGTGGACTAGCAAGCAAATGCTATAAACTACACGGTTTGAATTAGGTTCGTAGCATATTCAATACAGATACACACAATCAAATATAGTTTCTTAATTAGAAAACTCTCATGGAGAATGTTATTCGAAAGAGATAACACATGCGTATATTCATACATAATTCATAGCGATTTTGCTTGCCAGCGAATAACCACCTCACCTTTTGATCGATCAAGTTTCTGTCGGAGAGACAAAAGTTGCACATACGATCGACCTTTTTCATTAGAGGCGTAACTGCCTGTTCCAGTTCGGGAAACGCTTTACGTTCAATTTGATCGAAACTTTGAATATTTGAAAACCATCTTTTTATGTGTGGCCATTTAGAGAGCCGATCGTTAACGAAGATTACGCAGAAATCAAAAAATATTGCATCTTTCGTAGTAGGAATCCAACCACATACATAACTGACATCCGCAAAATCGTGGTTAATACTTTGTAATTGCGTTTCTAAGTTTAAAAAAACTGTTGAATCCTGAAGAACGTTAAACGATATATTGTCATCTCGGTCAGAGGTTAGGTGCAGACGATCGAAAATATCATTTGTAAGAAGTAGACAAATTTATTCACAAAAATTGATGGAAAAGAACACTCGAGGACATGACGTTCTTGAAAAAGATAACAATCACAAACAATTGTGAACCTATAGAGCGAATTACACAAATGCGGAGGAACACATGGAGGCGAAATTTACCATTGTCGCAAGGTATCGTCTGTTCCAACGCATCAAAAAATTCATAATAAAAAGGATATATAAACGTGTAATACGTAAATGTAATAGCTCCTACCTGGATATCATTCGCCTTAGCAGCTTTTAGTTTTCGTACAAGTTCTCCTTGTCGTTTCACCCGTTCCAGCAACTTTTCTTCGATTTCGTCAGCCATAACGCGCGATTCAGTCTTTCTCCGTCCAACTCCAATTTCAAACTCCGGTTTATGCAGCACGGCATCACTGCGCCTTCCAGCAACTCACATCCAACAATTCTAGTCAAATTTACTATTCGCTTGATTGACTTTAGAAATCTGTTCAATTCGTGTTCTCGATATACGTGTTCGTAAACGGAGAGAGAAATTTTCTTCGTTAAACTTTTGAATCCAATCTGTATTTCAAATACAGATACAAAATATCAACGGTACCAATTTGAAACATTATTAACGTAGAAAAGAGTAAACTATACAGATTTTGTTGATGGCTGATGTTTCCCATCATTGGTAATTTATCGGAATAAAAAAACGTCAATAGAAAATAAATTCACTTTTAAAATCCGATGAAAAACTGTGTATATTTTGACAAGTTTTAAAATTGATTGATTTTTCAGATTATATGTAATATATGATTTTAGATGTGAAAATTTTCCAATAACAAAGGAATAAAACGTAGGAAACATATGAAACGATAATTTAAACTCTGACGCAATAATTTTTAAACAATGATTCTGAATATTCTAATTGTTTGAACGTTATCAAACATTTCTAATAATTTATTTATAACAATTAAAAAATTAATTCTCTCTTTAAGACGTTTTTAATTATCATTTAAAATTTTTAATTAATCACTTCTTCAACGATTGAATCACTAATTTCTTGAATATTGATACATAGCGATTAGTTCCATCGTTCGTCTCAACGTGGTGCTAGTAACTGGCATTAGTATTTGAATCACCCCGGATTTTTATTTGACAAAACAATTGATCAGACGAATTAATCTCAGAATTCTTTGTCAGAGAAATAATATAGCAAATTTTATGTTTTCACGTAATTTATGTATATTTTGCGTGTTTCAAATTGTAGAGTCAACGACTGTGAATATTTTCATACATAAATTTTGTATGAAAATTCGTTTATCTATAAATGGAAAATACACAAATAAAAAACCAAAGATGTTAGGTCTGATGATTTCGTAGGCCAAGTCACCGTTCCCCCACAATCCAATAATTATAACCGAACCCAATTGTACCACGAAACACCCTATATATCGTTATTATTTTTAATTTTTGCGTGCGTGTTTCTAATCGTCAGTCAATTTAATTTGAAAAATCTATCACAAATGGATGTTAATATCGTTTTATGTTACAGCGACACTGTACGTTCGTATTCATTTTTTCTTTTTTTTTTTTGCATATTTTCCACTTCAGTACTAAAATTAACAATTTATATTTTGGTTTATATAATAATTTTTGTGTTTATATAATAATTTGAATTAAAAATATGGAAAAATATGGTAAATTTAATAAATTTTGATTTTTCTTACGTTCGTCCAAATCATTTAACGAATGGAAAATAATCACGCACAAACAATATTGGAAACTTACTAGCAAAAAATGAGCCTGTGAATAGTGTCTCCCTCGTACGGGAATTATATCGTCATGTGAAATTATTTTCTGGCGGGATATTTGAAAATATTATTAAATTATTTGAAATTATTATTTAATTTATCAAGATACACAAACATTTATACGCAATATTGTATTGTATAATAAAATATTCCTGTAAAATGAAAAAAAAGGAATCTCCCAGTCGATAACGAGAAATCAATGTTAGCGACCGGTAACAAGAAAAAAAATTAAAAAT